GACTCTTGAGTCGCTGTGTTCGTCGCTGGAACAAGTAGCGGAACCACATATGTATCCTCCGGAACGATATGTGTGTCCTCTGGAACGACACGTGTCCTCCGGGAACGACACGTGTCCTCCGGGAACGACACGTGTCCTCCGGGAACGACACGTGTCCTCCGGGAACGACACGTGTCCTCCGGGAACGACACGTGTCCTCCGGGAACGACACGTGTCCTCCGGGAACGACACGTGTCCTCCGGGAACGACACGTGTCCTCCGGGAACGACACGTGCCCTCCGGGAACGACACGTGCCCTCCGGGAACGACACGTGCCCTCCGGGAACGACACGTGCCCTCCGGGAACGACACGTGTCCTCCGGGAACGACACGTGTCCTCCGGGAACGACACGTGTCCTCCGGGAACGACACGTGTCCTCCGGGAACGACACGTGTCCTCCGGGAACGACACGTGTCCTCCGGGAACGACACGTGTCCTCCGGGAACGACACGTGCCCTCCGGGAACGACACGTGCCCTCCGGGAACGACACGTGCCCTCCGGGAACGACACGTGTCCTCCGGGAACGACACGTGTCCTCCGGGAACGACACGTGTCCTCCGGGAACGACACGTGTCCTCCGGGAACGACACGTGTCCTCCGGGAACGACACGTGTCCTCCGGGAACGACACGTGTCCTCCGGGAACGACACGTGTCCTCCGGGAACGACACGTGTCCTCCGGGAACGACACGTGTCCTCCGGGAACGACACGTGTCCTCCGGGAACGACACGTGTCCTCCGGGAACGACACGTGTCCTCCGGGAACGACACGTGTCCTCCGGGAACGACACGTGTCCTCCGGGAACGACACGTGTCCTCCGGGAACGACACGTGTCCTCCGGGAACGACACGTGTCCTCCGGGAACGACACGTGTCCTCCGGGAACGACACGTGTCCTCCGGGAACGACACGTATCCTCCGGGAACGACACGTGTCCTCCGGGAACGACACGTGTCCTCCGGGAACGACACGTGTCCTCCGGGAACGACACGTGTCCTCCGGGAACGACACGTGTCCTCCGCCTGCCACTGGAAATGCCCAATACATTACCTAACTGGATCTAGCTGGGCGCTGCTGGCAAAGAATACTAGCTACCTTCAAGTTCAGGTATGTTTATTGAGACAAGAAAAAAATACATCTCAAAGGGATAGAGTAGCTTAGGCTATTTCTACCCTCTACTAGCTACCTTAATGGTCTAGTGGAAGCACAACTGACATCCAGCTTGGCTCTGGATATAGAGATAAATCTGGATAAAGATTTATATCTGGATATAACACTTCCAAATTTATATCTGACTATGCCTCCGAAGAATTTAAATCCGGCTCTATCTCTGCAGAGTTTGCATCTGGCTCTGCCTTGCTAGAAAGAGGGACCTATCAGGAGAAAGCGCCAAGCCATTACGACGGAATGGGGGTCAGGATAAGGAGAACAAATCCACAAGGGCCGTGGCGAGGATTCGAACCTGCGCCCGGGAGCATCCCAGACACTGCCTTAATCGACTGAGCAAATCCACCCTTGTGGATTTGTTCATTTGATGCATAACGTTATTGTGATCTCTGTGTGTGTCAGGATAAGGATTTGGGATGGGACGGGAGGAAGGAATGGTGGCCAATCACTTGGACGGGATCAGGATAAGGATTTGGGATGGGACGGAAGGTCTGAGGAATGGGAACTGGGAATTATCAGCAGAAAGCGCCAAGCCATTACGACTATATAGCACAGGGAAGGGATCAGGATAAGGATTTGGGATGGGACGGGGGGGGGGAAGGAATGGTGCCCAACCACTTTGGTGGACGGTCGGGGATTGAACGCCGACCTGCATGAAGCTCTACCGTCGCTCTACCGTCAGAGGCAGAGAGTCTACGGGCTCCACCCGGCGGCTTCTTGACCTGATCTCGTCTCAAGGAGACCGCCAAGGTGAAAGCATCTTACCTTTTTTATTTTTTTGCTTGACTCGTGGCCGGACTTTCATCGACCTTCTTGAGGCGGGTTTTACCTTCTCACTGATGCATACTTACATCCTGATGGATCAGTGCATACTAGGCGCGCCTCCCCCCCCAACTTCTATATACACATACACACTGTAACCAGAAAACTCACACCCCAGAAGTGACTCGAACCCATACTGCCAGGAGCACTAGGCAACTGGTGTACAGGGTTCCTTAACCACTCGACCATCACGACCGGAGACTGTAGTATACTCTTTTAATGGGGGTATTATTGACAGTCTACAAGTTTACCTCAGGTGTTCATCTTAGAACATAAGAACAAAGGTAACTCCAGAAGGCCTATTGGCCCATACGAGGCAGCTCCTATTTATAACCACCCAATCCTACTCATATACATGTCCATATACATCTTCGCGATCAAGTCATGTGTTTACTCGATGAGTCACAATAACGAGGCTAAAGTAAGTTGACCAGACCACACACTAGAAGGTGAAGGGACGACGACGTTTCGGTCCGTCCTGGACTATTCTCAAGTCGATTCAAACGTCGAAGGAGAAGCAAACGTCGTCGTCCCTTCACCTTCTAGTGTGTGGTATGGTCATCATATGTTTACTGTTTCGACTCATTGATACACACCCAGGCAACTCTGCCTTCATATGTGACTGATAAACAATATGGCGGCCATATTCAAATGCCATATTCAGAGCCAGAGCAGCAAAAAAATATTTTTATAATTGTTTTGAGATCAAATTCGTATATTTTGTTCGCTTTTGGATATATAAAGATGAGTTTAATTTCGAAAATGTTTCACTGTGACCGCTAATTAGTTTAATGTCATATCAACACACTTCAACACAGTATTGCACAGATCACTGGGTAGAGAAGATGACAGAAACCGTTGATGTTGACGAACAGCAAGAAAAGCCTCGTCAACTTGCAAGGAGGTGGCGTGAATAAGTTCTGGAAGAAGAAGGCGGGCATAAGTTCTTGCTGTTCTTCAACATCAACGCTTTCTGTCCTCTTCTCTTCCCAGTGATCTATGCAATATCATATTTCCAATTGCATCTTCAACACCGTAGAAGATTTTAGAAGTATAAGAAGTAGAAGAAGTAGAAGTAGAAGTAGAAGAAGTTTAGACAACAACTACTCCTCAGGCCTCTCATTATCCAGCACTGACACCAGACCTTACATTAGTATGCTGGGTGGCAACACTGGTGGTGAATGTACCCTCTATTGTGCTTCAACTAGTAGCTAGTGTGTGTGTGTTGCTCTGGCAACACTCACTACTCTACCGTCCTCCAACAACGTACCTAAAGTTGGACAATGGTTCGAGGGCTCAGTTCATGGTATAAAATTGTTTCTCCTGTTTGTGTACGAATGTTGTACTTAAGTTGCCAGCTGAAAGGTCAGAAATCTGTGTGAAAGTTTAACTGTAGGAAATTCTTGACGGTTTAGTATGCCGTTCAAGTAGAGAGACACACACACAAGGAGAGAGAGAGAGAGAGAGAGAGAGAGAGAGAGAGAGAGAGAGAGAGAGAGAGAGAGAGAGAGAGAGAGAGAGAGAGAGAGAGAGAGAGAGAGAGAGAGAGAGAGAGAGAGAGAGAGAGAGAGAGAGAGAGAGAGAGAGAGAGAGAGAGAGAGAGAGAGAGAGAGAGAGAGAGAGAGAGAGAGAGAGAGAGAGAGAGAGAGAGAGAGAGAGAGAGAGAGAGAGAGAGAGAGAGAGAGAGAGAGAGAGAGAGAGAGAGAGAGATGACTCCATACACAGTTTCAAATATAGATATGATAGAGCCCAGTAGGCTCAGGAATCTGTACACCAGTTGATTGACGGTTGAGAGGCGGAACCAAAGACCCAGAGCTCAACCCCCGCAAGCACAACTAGGTGAGTAGACACACACACACACACACACACACACACACACACACACACACACACACACACACACACACCTCTTCGCCAAACGAGTCTTATACAAAGCACATACTAATCATCCTCAACTAACAATCTGAATATTATTTTAGCTGATTAAATGAACAAATCCACACGGGCCGTGATGAGGATTCGAACCTACGTCCGAGAGCATCCCAGACGCTGCCTTAATCGACTGAGCTAAGACATGGTCAAAGAACTGCAACCAGAAATTCTACTGAATTTACTTGAATGAAGTTTAGCTGATTCCCACACTGAACCCACCAACGCACAAACCACGAAGGGAATTCAAACCACAAAGCATCTACTCTTGTACGTGATTTCCCGACCTGTGTTTATAGGAATTAGTAACGCAAATTGGATAGGATTTAAGGCTACGTATGACCACAGAATGACAGCAGACCCCCATTAAAACATTCACACACATTCTCTGTGAGAATGACGACGCATAGATGCAATTGCCTAACTTTTCTGACATTATAGTGTAATGGAATGTAATGGATGTACATGTACGGTAACTGTACAGCATTACATGACCAGTCACTAAATAGGGTGGCGCAGGGGTAACACACTCGCTCCGGTCCTCGCCAGCGACTTTGGTTCGTATCCTGGCCAGGGGAGGATTGACTAGGCGCCAGTTCTTATAACCATACGCCTCTATTCACCCACAAGTGATTGGGTACCTGGTTGTTAAACGACTGGCGATTCGTGTTCCAGGGAGACTTGTTAAGCCCAGGAGCCAGATTCACGAAGCAGTTACGCAGGTACTTACGGACGTGTACATCTTTCCTCAATCTTTGACGGCTTTGGTTACATTTATTAAACAGTTTACAAGCATGAAAACTTGCCAATCAACAGTTGTTATGGTTATAAACAGCCTCCTGGTGCTTCGGAGCTCATTAACTGTTTAATAATTGTAAACAAAGCCGCCAAAGATTGAGAACAGTTGTACAGGTTCGTAAGTGCTTGCGTAACTGCTTCGTGAATCTGGCCCCAGAGACGCAAGTTCAATCCCGTGGCAATGCTTTTGATATGATCCTGTGTGTGCTGTCCCATTGTGTGCTAAGTAAGAGGACTCTTGCAGGTGTTGTGGGCGGTCGTGTGGGCGGCGTGGGCGGCCCTGGCGACCTCAGCGCCCTCTGGAGACCGTAAGTACAATCCTTCACGTTTTATAAACAATTGATTAACTACCACAACACAGGCATTTAATGGCGTCACATTAACACACTATTTAACCGTTGGCTTGGGTTAGGTTCACAGATCGACTGCTTGTCTTCAAAACAAACCGGAGGGGATATGGCTATTCGGCCCATCAGGGGCATATGACCTTCCCCCCCTTTTGAAAAGATGGAATAGTCTGTCTATTTCCTTTGGCCAGATGAAGGAATTCACAAGCTCTACTTCTGAAGAGTATTTAGGCAGCATCCCAGGAACATCTCAGTAGCATCCCAGGAACATCTCAGTAGCATCCCAGGAACATCTCAGTAGCATCCCAGGAACATCTCAGTAGCATCCCAGGAACATCTCAGTAGCATCCCAGGAACATCTCAGTAGCATCCCAGGAACATCTCAGTAGCATCCCAGGAACATCTCAGTAGCATCCCAGGAACATCTCAGTACGATCTCATACGTATCACCAGCATCTCAGAAATATCTCAGCATCTTATCTTATATCAGCATCATCTCAAGAGGTTTCCAAGAGCATATCAGATCCATCACAGGAGCGTCACAGGAGCATCTCAGAAATATCTCAGGGTTCTTAGTTCCATCTCAGCAACATCTCAGGAGTTGTCTCAGCATCATCTTGGGAACAACTCAAGAGAATAACATCAACAGAATCTCTCTCTCGAATTGTCATACCTGGTTGATACCTGGTTGATGGGGTTCTGGGAGTTCTTCTACTCCCCAAGCCCGGCCCGAGGCCAGGCTCGACTTGTGAGAGTTTGGTCCACCAGGCTGTTGCTTGGAGCGACCCGCAGGCCCACATACCCACCACAGCCCGGCTGATCCGGAACTTCTCTTAGAAAACCGTCCAGTTTTCTCTTGAAGATGTCCACTGTTGTTCCGGCAATATTTCTTATGCTCGCTGGGAGGACGTTGAACAACCGCGGACCCCTGATGTTTATACAGTGCTCTCTGATTGTGCCTATGGCACCTCTGCTCTTCACTGGTTCAATCTTGCCCGATGGCCCAAGAGGATGGGGCAACGTTTAAAACCAAAACCACCACATATCAGAAGATGGAGAAACGACGTTTCGGTCCGTTACTTATGCTATCCTGAAATCCCAGCTTCTATCCTGTTCATATATATCCACGCGCATAACCGGTCTCCTTTCACCTGATGCACCTGTTCGCCTATCATCTGAATAGGTCACTGGGACCTAGGTAACTGTTGTGGTTTGTATCGAGGTGTTGTTCCCTACTTGGCGAACCACTAAGAGGACTACACCCGCACACCACTGCACCACGACATGCTAAAAAGCAATGGTATATATATATATATATATATATATATATATATATATATATATATATATATATATATATATATATATATATATATATATATATATGTCGTACCTAGTAGCCAGAACGCACTTCTCGGCCTACTATGCAAGGCCCGATTTGCCTAATAAGCCAAGTTTTCATGAATTAATTATTTTTCGACAACCTAACCTACCTAACCTAACCTAACCTAACTTTTTCGGCTACCTAACCTAACCTAACCTATAAAGATAGGTTAGGTTAGGTTAGGTAGGGTTGGTTAGGTTCGGTCATATATCTACGTTAATTTTAACTCCAATAAAAAAAAATTGACCTCATACATAATGAAATGGGTAGCTTTATCATTTTATAAGAAAAAAATTATAGAAAATATATTAATTCAGGAAAACTTGGCTTATTAGGCAAATCGGGCCTTGCATAGTAGGCTGAGAAGTGCGTTCTGGCTACTAGGTACGACATATATATATATATATATATATATATATATATATATATATATATATATATATATATATATATATATATATATATATATATATATATATATATATAATTAACTTTAAACAACAGAGGGCCCAGGACGGAGCCCTGAGGTACTCAAAATAGTTTCCTAATCGGACATGATTTCACACACACAAACCCTTTCTCCTTTACCAACAAAAACACACACAATACGAATTAGCAAACAAAATGTTACATTAATCCGGAAATTAATATCATTATCGTTTGTTTGATAACTGTAAACATCTAATCAGTTACCGTATGTGAACAAACTGGCGTTCCGTGAAGACCCTTCACTTCCACCTAACTATTGCACAAGCAATAGTTAGCTCCCATTACATCTTGCTACTGTTAAGGGATTTACTGTTTGAAGAGTGTAGCTATAAGCAGGGTAATTATACAGGATCAATTACACCATAGGACTGAGTTATTTTACGGCCGAGGAGATGGAACGAAACCATTCACACACCTCACGGGATGAGTATGGGGTGCACAATAAACTACCACTCACAGGATGAGTATGGGGTGCACAATAAACTACCACTCACGGGATGAGTATGGGGTGCACAATAAACTACCACTCACGGGATGAGTATGGGGTGCACAATAAACTACCACTCACAGGATGAGTATGGGGTGCACAATAAGCTACCACTCACAGGATGAGTATGGGGTGCACAATAAGCTACCACTCACAGGATGAGTATGGGGGTGCACAATAGCGCAGTAGCCTGCGCGCTGGAAGCCACAATCAGTAGCACAGAGTCTCTTCCAGCTTTGCCAGACATGTCAGGATAGAGCGGGGCTACAATGAGCCTGCGGGCCACTCCAAGCAACAGCCTGGTGGACCAAACTCTCACAAGTCAGCTTGGCGAGTAGAAGAACTCCCAGAACCCCATCAAGCAGTGGTCAGACCCAAGATTGATGGGCATAAATAGAGAGGGATCTATCAATTTCTCTATGACGCAAACAGAAATAAGCAACCGGAGGAGATAGGGCTCTGCGGTTCAACATAACCACAGGGTTCATCAGCAAAGGGGTGAAATACTCTTAGTCTGTCCTTTATCCTTGGTCTATATGAAGAGCTTCTCAGGCAGCATTTTGCACACACACACACACACACACACACACACACACACACACACACACACACACACACACACACACACACACACACACACACACACACTACCCCCAGTGGCTAGGCCCAAATCCAAACATAAGAAGCCTCGCATCACTGCCCCGGGTCGTTTGAGCACACAGTAAGCCTATCCCCTGGACGGTTGCCATCCATGGGATGGGGTTGAATGCTGGGATGGATGAGTGAGAGCTAGAAAGGAAGGGATGGACAAGAAGAACATAAATAAGGAACAGGAGGATTAAATTAAACGCGAAATGGGATGGAAATCATCGAAAACGTCGTTTTTTTTTTTACGAAATCCACCAATTCGTTCAAATTGTGACGCATTTATAAAGCTTAAAGCGTCGTAATGTTGACGTTATTAACACGTCGGCATCGATAGGTTAGGAGGGTTGCTTGGGAACGCACGTTATTGGTTAGGCAAAAAGGTTGCATTTGGTACGTTTCTGGCTTAAGCAAAACAGTTGCCGTTTATACGGAGAGGGACGTCCAACCAATTAGGCTGGACGGTAGAGCGACGGGTCTCCCTTCATGCAGGTCGGCGTTCAATCCCCGACCGTCCAAGTGGTAGGTTATCTTGAGATGATTTCGGGGCTTAGTGTCCCCGCGGCCCGGTCCTCGACCAGGCCTCCTTTTTGTTACACCCACCCAGGAAGCAGCCCGTAGCAGCTGTCTAACTCCCAGGTACCTATTTACTGCTAGGTGAACAGGGGGCATCAGGGTGAAAGTAACTCTGCCCATTTGTTTCCGCCTCCACAGGGGGATCGAACCCGGAACCTCAGAGCTACGAATCCCGAGCGCTGACAAATCAGCTGTCAGGGCCCCATTTCTTGTCCCGCAAGGAATGGACCCCTTGTCCCTCGATTGCGAGTCAGAGACACAGACCGCTGCGCCACGGGACTCTCCAAGACGATGCAGCTGTAGGATAGATCAGGATATTAGTGTGGGATGAAGGCTGCTGGGACGCTGCTCTGGGGTCTGGCTAGAGCTGGCAGGATAGGTGGATAGGTCGGTGATGGGGGGGGGGAGGGAGGAGACCACATGTCTGCAGCAGCAGCAGCAGCAGCAGCAGCAGCAGCAGCAGCAACAACAGCAGCAGCAGCAGCAGCAGCAGCAGCAGCAACAACAGCAGCAGCAGCAGCAGCAGCAGCAGCAGCAACAACAACAGCAGCAGCAGCAGCAGCAGCAGCAGCAACAGCAGCAGCAGCAGCAGCAGCAGCAACAACAGCAGCAGCAGCAGCAGCAGCAGCAACAACAGCAGCAGCAGCAACAGCAGCAGCAGCAGCAGCAGCAGCAGCAACAACAGCAGCAGCAGCAGCAGCAACAGCAGCAACAACAGCAGCAGCAGCAGCAGCAGCAGCAGCAGCAACAACAGCAGCAACAACAGCAGCAGCAGCAGCAGCAGCAGCAGCAGCAACAACAGCAGCAGCAGCAGCAGCAGCAGCAGCAACAACAGCAGCAGCAGCAGCAGAGGGCCACAAACCGGACACGCACCTACTCACAGCTGCTTGTATAGAAATCCCCGGCTCCTACCTTGACCACTTTCACTCCTGTGGTGAGTGGGTGAGGGAGGCGGAGAGGGGGGGGGGAGAGGTGAGGGAGGGGGAGAAGGGGGGGGGAGGGGAGGGGGGGGCGATCAGAAGTGAAGTATAACCTTTCTCACACAACTCTGCCATTTCTCATCCTGCTAGCAAGTCTTCTGGCTAACTCATCTTTCTAGCCATTTGTACTCATCCTGCTAACTAGTCTTATTCACCATCCTATCTACTCTTTGTCATTTTGTTAGCCAATATTACCCATGCTGGTAGCCAGTCTTACTCATTCTACTAGCTACTTTTACTCATTCTGCTAGCTACTTTTACTCATTCTACTAGCTACCTTTACTCATTCTACTAGCTACTTTCGGGATAGTAGAACCCACGCTAGGCTACTTCCGGGATTCTCACTAGCCTGAGCGCGTCACATGTTTAAATCCACATTACATAAACATACATAATACGCAGCAACATGGCGGAACTGGAAGCCACATATAAGTATAGTCTCTAGTGACTTGAAATTACTGAACTACGTAATCACTCTCAGCGATTACCTCAGGCAGGAAGTAACTGTTGCTGGACCGTAGTTGCCTAAGTGGTTGGTGGTCCGAGACGTTGCTGCCATCTACCAACGGGAGCTGGCAACGGGGCCTGACGGCTGAGTGGACAGCGCTCGGGATTCGTAGTACAAAGGTTCCAGGTTTTGATCCCCGGTGGAGACGGGGGATAGATTGTTAAGCCTTAATAACCCCCCCCCCCTCGTGCTGTTTGTTGATAGGCTTCAGGATTTGGCGTAACTAACAGATGCTGTCTTTTCAGAGAATGGTGGTGCGAGAGTTGGAGTCGGGCGCGGTACTCCAGTAGGAGCAGTCATACAAGAAGCTCCACACCAGGGTTAGTATCTCCCTCACACACCTCAGTTTCCAGTCACTTCCTCATATCTCATTCACCCTCATAGCCAGCTAGGTCTCATTTTCCATCTAAGCCTATCATGATAGCTAGGCCTATAATTCTCAGAAAAACATAAGATTGTGATATAATGAAGAGAATATATTGATATACTCACGTATTTAGGCCTAATTTTACTTGCGTTAGACATTGTTGTAATAATAAGCATATATACACTATAACAGGTTAAGTTTTGGCTCAAAAAATATTATATATTAAAACTAAAATATGTATAAGATAACATTTTTGAGAAAATTTATATATATGATGATATTATACCTGATAGCCATCTATGGCTACTAGCTAAACCATTAGAATATATCATGACAATGACTAGGGATTTATAGCTAAAAGGGTTTATAAATAAAATAAATGTCTAATTGTTGTTTAAACATTTCCTATTCAAGCGTGCTATCACCTAAGATAAAATTTCAGACGATCATTTTGACAAGATTTTTGTCTTATGATCATTTTTGACCAGATTTTTGTCTTACGATCATTCTGACAAAATTTTTGTCTTACGATCATTTTGACCAGATTTTTGTCTTACGATCATTCTGACCAGATTTTTGTCTTACGATCATTTTGACCAGATTTTTGTCTTACGGTCATTTTGACCAGATTTTTGTCTTACGATCATTTTTGACCAGATTTTTGTCTTACGATCATTCTGACAAGATTTTTGTCTTACGATCATTTTGACCAGATTTTTGTCTTACGATCATTTTGACCAGATTTTTGTCTTACGATCATTTTGACAAGATTTTTGTCTTACGATCATTTTGACAAGATTTTTGTCTTACGATCATTTTGACCAGATTTTTGTCTTACGATCATTTTGACAAGATTTTTGTCTTACGATCATTTTGACCAGATTTTTGTCTTACGATCATTTTTGACCAGATTTTTGTCTTACGATCATTTTGACCAGATTTTTGTCTTACGATCATTTTGACAAGATTTTTGTCTTACGATCATTTTGACAAGATTTTTGTCTTACGATCATTTTTGACCAGATTTTTGTCTTACGATCATTCTGACAAGATTTTTGTCTTACGATCATTTTGACCAGATTTTTGTCTTACGATCATTTTGACCAGATTTTTGTCTTACGATCATTTTGACAAGATTTTTGTCTTACGATCATTTTGACCAGATTTTTGTCTTACGATCATTTTTGACCAGATTTTTGTCTTACGATCATTTTAACCAGATTTTTGTCTTACGATCATTTTGACAAGATTTTTGTCTTACGATCATTTTGACCAGATTTTTGTCTTACGATCATTTTTTATAAGATTTTTGTCTTACGATCATTTTGACCAGATTTTTGTCTTACGATCATTCTGACCAGATTTTTGTCTTACGATCATTTTGACCAGATTTTTGTCTTACGATCATTTTGACCAGATTTTTGCCTTACGATCATTTTGACAAGATTTTTGTCTTACGATCATTTTGACAAGATTTTTGTCTTACGATCATTTTGACCAGATTTTTGTCTTACAGGTCAACTCATCGCAAACGACGTCACCCTGAACAAAATCTTCCACGACCTGGCCAAGACAAGAGGGACGGTGGTTCCGGCCAACCTGATTACCGGCTCAAGGCCTCCCTTTCGGGCCAAGGGTCCAACAGCCATCTCGCCCGACGCTGACTTCAGAGTCAGCAAACAAGGAGAGATCGCCACGAATTTCCATATCAACGGGCAAGAACAGCCTGCCGCCGCTAACTTCCATCTCAGCAGACAAAATCATCCTGCCGCGAACATACAAGTCAACGGACAAGGACAACCTGCCAATAAGATACAAGTCAACGGACAAGGACAGTCTGCTATTAAAATACATGTCAACGGACAAGGGCAGCAGGCTAATAACCTAGACAACGGACAAAGACAGCTAGCTAATGTCCTCCGTGTCAACGGACAAGGACAGTCTGCCGCTAAGATACAAATCAACGGACAAGGACAGTCTGCTAATGTCCTCCGTGTCAACGGACAAGGACAACCTGCCCCTAAGATAGAAGTCAACGGACAAGGACAGCAGGCTAATAGCCGAGTCAACGGACAAAGACAGCTTGCTAGTAACCTCCAAATCAACGGACAAAGACAGCTTGCTAATAACCTCCAAATCAACGGACAAAGACAGCTTGCTAATAACCTCCAAATCAACGGACAAAGACAGCTTGCTAGTAACCTCCAAATCAACGGACAAAGGCAGCTTGCTAGTAACCTCCAAGTCAACGGACAAAGACAGCTTACAAGTAACCTCCAAGTCAACGGACAAGGACAGTCAGCCACTAAGATACAAATCAACGGACAAGGACAGCCTGCTAATGTCCTCCGAGTCAACGGACAAGGACAACTTGCTAATATCTTCCTTGTCAATGGACAAGGACAGCCTGCTAATGTTCTCCGCGTCAACGGACAAGAACAGCTTGCTAGTAACCTCAGAGTCAACGGACAAGGACAGTCTGCCACTAAGATACAAGTCAACGGACAAGGACAATCTGCCGCTAAGACACAAGTCAACGGACAAAGACAGTCAGCCACTAAGACACAAGTCAACGGACAAAGACAGCTTGCTAGTAACCTCAGAGTCAACGGACAAGGACAGTCTGCCACTAAGACACAAGTCAATGGACAAGGACAGTCTGCCACTAAGATACAAGTCAACGGACAAGGACAGTCAGCCACTAAGACACAAGTCAACGGACAAAGACAGCTTGCTAGTAACCTCAGAGTCAACGGACAAGGACAGTCTGCCACTAAGACACAAGTCAATGGACAAAGACAGCTTGTTAACAACCTTGGAGTCAACTTACAAGAACAATCTAAGATACAAGTCAACGGACAAGAACAATCTAAGATACAAGTCAACGGACAAGAACAATCTAAGATACAAGTCAACGGACAAGAACAATCTAAGATACAAGTCAACGGACAAGAACAATCTGCCACTAAGATACAAGTCAACGGACAAGGACAGCCTGCCACTAATACACACGTCAAAAGACAAGGAAACTTCGCTTCTAACTTCCATATCAATGGACAACAACAGCTTGCTAATAACCTACTTTTCAACAGACAGGGGAAGTTAGCTCCTAACTTCCACTTCAATAGCCAGGGACAACCCACAACTAGCCAACAACTAATCAACAGACAAGAACGTCCCAGTACTAGCTTTAATGCCAACAGGTTAATCCAACCAGCCACAAACTTAGAGTTAATCAACAGACAAAGACAGCTCAACTTAGATTTAATCAACAGATCACAAAGACAAATCGTTAGCAGCCTCCAACAAGGACACCTCCAACAAGGACACCCCATCACTAACTTTCATCTTCTTAGCGGGCAAAGACAGCTTGGAACTAACTTCCCAAAAGGCAATACCCAGAGACAGCTCACTACTAACTTGCTATTGGCCAATAGACAAGGACAGCCATATGCTAGCGGCGGCCAAGAACCAATACTAGATGATTCCTTCTTTATAACTGGCGAGGCTCTCGATACAAAGGAAGATGATCTTGCAATTGCAACTGGGACACCAACTCATGCTGCCGTCAGTGCAGAATTAGAAGGCTCTGTTCATCAAGACTTGTCCGCTGAGAGTAAAGAAGTTCCTCTTGATGGAGTAGGTGTACCTCTTCCAGTTGTGCCTCTTCCGGTTGTTCCTCTTCCAGATGTCTACCCTGATGGATCGGGTGCTTCTTCTGGAGTCAAAGATGTGTCCCACGAAGAAGTAACTGGGCCCCTTCCAGATGAGTCTTTTGGAGGGTCTACTGTGGCTTTAGGAACCTCTGAAAGTTTAGATACGTCTTTGAACTCTGTAGGATCGATTGCAGGAACTTCGAGTCTCGCGTTAGATGGTGTTGGATCTGGCACTGGTGTTGCGCTTCCTATCAGCTCCGATAAGACTGTTGCATCAGACATCGATCTCACTTCGAGTCTCATAACAGAGCCAGGTGAAGCATTAATTGCCCCATCCTTAGGAGCTGGCACTGCCTCGGCAACACTATCAACAACTAACTATCTCCCTCAGGCTCTTGGATCACTTCTTAGTGGCAGTACAAACCAAATAACCGACCCTAATCAAACCTTAGAAAGTTTTCTTTTGGGTCTCAACGGAAAGAACGGTGTGGTGGTTCTTCCCGCTTCTAGTCTAGAAAAAGTAGTAAGTAGTGGCATCGCAAGCTCTCCGCCATCCTCCATCACCAACAGCGTCGTTGGCGAAGCAGCGACCATCGCCGCCGAAGTCAAACAAGACGTCGTTGGCGGAGTATCGCCCATCGCCGCCGAAGTCAAAAATGGCGTCACTGAAAACAGCTCCGAAGATTTGGATGGCTTCGCCCTCGACCTGGACTCCCCAGGCGCCACCACCATCAACGTTGTGACTGCCACCTCGAGCTCTATACCAGCGGTCCCTGCAGCCACATTCGACATCAACAGCGTAACTCCCACTACCACTACGCTAGCTCCTTTATTCCGAGGCCCGGTGACGGACATTCTCTTCACCAAGGGCCGCCTCGTGGGGACCATCATCGGGGGACTCATTGACCTCGGCTCCACAGTAATCCGCAGCTTATCACAGATTAAACCATTCGCTTGAAGACAGCCGTAGACTTTAATAAGGCAAATTGCATTAATAAATTGTTATATAGCCAATGTTTATCTAGTCTAGCCAAATAAATCCGATAAGCAGATAATGCACATGAAGGACATGACTGTATAGCCACTGCTATATATAGCAGAGGATATATATATACAGCAGCTCTTTTTTTAGCAAATGGAATCACAAACACATGAGCTAAAAGCATCCAAAAAGTATCTTTAATGTACCAATAAAGGACATTTGTTGGATAATATTTAGCGTACTATCAGTCTCTTAGGCTTGAAGAACAGCACAGCTCTTGTTGGGGGTATGTTGATCTCACTCTGTAATCCTGTCCTTAGTATATTGTCCAAAAGAAATGATTTTGTAATAACAATAATGCTAATGTAGCTATATTTGTTGAACTCTGACAAGTAAAGGTTTTTCCGGGATCACAGCCACGAGGAAGCTGTTTTAATGTGTGTGAGAAGCCAGGCGTGAGAAAGCAGCTTACTGTGAGGGATGAGGAAATGAGGAATGTGAATAGAGTCATTAGGAAACTGTCTATGACTGATGTGTGAGTAGGGGAAGGGGGAGGAGGTGGCCGAGTCATGAGGAAGCTCACCCAATTCTTTGCTGTGATTGGCGGAGAACCAATCCCGTGACTGGGGAACCTCTTTGCTGTGATTGGCGGGGAACCAATCCCGTGTGACTGGGGAACCTCTTTGCTGTGATTGGCGGGGAACCAATCCCGTGTGACTGGGGAACCTCTTTGCTGTGATTGGTTGAGATATTTCCTAGGCTCGCTGCTCACTGACAGCTATTGAACACGAAGAGAAGCCATTGTTATTCCTAATGTTAATGTTATAATTTGTTCAGTGTTTTATATGTAGTTTAGAATGTGTGTACTGTATGTATATAGCTTTAGAGCACAAGTTATATAAAGTTTGTTAAGTTGTTGGGTTGTTATATCAAACTACGATATCAATAAATGATGAACGTGCTTGGCTTTTCAGTAATCCCAAATGACTCTTACCATATTTCGGTCCTTTCACTTGGGCTGGACGGTAGGTCTCGCTTCATGCAGGTCGGCGTTCAATCCCCGACCGTCCACCAAGTTGTTGGGCACCATTCCTTCCCCCCGTCCCATCCCAAATCCTTATCCTGACCCCTTCCCAGTGCTATATAGCCGTAATGGCTTGGTGCTTTCTATTGATAATTCTCTCTCTCGCTACCATGTCTCACGGAGGTAAAAAGAAGTCAATTATGGAGCCGATTGGGCTATACAACACTTGGAAGACATGAAAATGGGAAATATATTACAGTATAACTTACCTAATTCCAAAAATCAGTAGGAAATTGGCTGCAATTTATTATTCGTTCCAATTTGCGTCACGGGAGAACCAACAGGCTTTGAAAGGTTGATAAAGTTTCATTTAAAGTTCCATAGAATAAAAAGCTCAGTTGGTTTAGCTGTCATTGAAGATAGCTTCTGCATTCTGTAAAAAAAAAAAAAAAGTTTTAACGTAAATTTAAACATATAATGGACATTAATATCACGGATATTTCCACGTGCTGTAGTAACAAATTTATGAGCTTATTATGAATTCATTTATTATAATTTAAACTATTTGTTATTTATCTATGCATTATAAGACAATCTTAAATACATCAATCTGAAAATCACAGTTTGGGTGTTTTTCTACGTCTTACCCGCATCGTGCATGTGTCTGTAGCTATGCACAAGAAGAATCTATAATACATCAATACAACAACAGCATCTAGCCTAAACAGCCGTTGATAATTGCTTAACAACATGTCGACATTAATTGTGTTTCTGGGAAGTATTTTTTGTTCAATCCTTAACGTTTTAAAGCAAGACTTTATCCAGTTGTAGAGAAAGGACTGATAATGCCAGTATTGATCATGAGTACATAATTTAACGGATATTTTGGTATTAAATGGGACAACTGGTGGCGTGACCCGCCTCCCTCAAGATCCTCAGCGGCACTGACCACCGAACACCAGGGTTGCCAGATTCAAATTGCTAAAAGTAGCGAGCTGACGGTCTAAAAGTAGCGAATTTGTAATAAGAGTAGCCCAGTTTTTTGTTTAGTGACTGATACGGGTTTCAAAGTAATCTATTATGATATACGACTTTTTACACCGAAAATATGCCAATTACTGAAAACGGCGATGGGTCATATTTTACCCAAACCCCCCTGCAGTTTTCAAAATATCTGAAATGTCGGAAATTTGACTCCTAAGTGTGTTTTTTTACCCGAATTCTGACTCTCTGCACCTATTTTCATTTTCAAATTACGAATTTTTATGCCGAAAATATGCCAATTACTGAAAACGGCGATGGGTCATATTTTGCCCCCCCCCCTGCAGTTTTCAAAATATCTGAAATGTTGGAATTTTGACTCCTGAGTGTGATTTTTGAGCCGAATTCTGACTCTCTGCACCTATTTTCATTTTCATATTACGAATTTTTATACCGAAAATATGCCAATTACTGAAAACGGCGATGGGTCATACTTTGCCCAAACCCCCCCTGCAGTTTTCAAAATATCTGAAATGTCGGAAATTTGACTCCTGAGCGTGATTTTTGAGCCTAATTCTGACTCTCTGCGCCTATTTTTATTTTCAAATTACTACTTTTTACACCGAAAATATGCCAATTACTGAAAACGGAGATGGGTCATATTTTGCCCAAACCCCCCTGCAGTTTTCAAAATATCGTAAATGTCCGAAATTTGACTCCTGAGCGTGATTTTTGAGCTGAATTCAGACTCTCTGCACCTATTTTCATTTTCAAATTACAACTTTTTACACCGAAAATATGCCAATTACTGAAAACGGCGATGGGTTATATTTTGCCTAAACCCCCCTGCAGTTTTCAAAATATCTGAAATGTCGGAAATTTGACTCCTGAGTGTGGCTTTTGAGACGAATTCGGACTCTCTGCACCTATTTTCATTTTCAAATTACGACTTTTTATACCGAAAATATGCCAATTACTGAAAACGGCGAGGGGTCATATTTTGCCCAAACCCCCCTGCAGTTTTCAAAATATCTGAAATGTCGGAAATTTGACTCCTGAGCGTGATTTTTGAGCCGAATTCTGACTCTCTGCACCTATTTTCATTTTCAAATTACGAATTTTTATACCGAAAATATGCCAATTACTGAAAACGGCGATAGGTCATATTTTGCCCAAACCCCCCTGCAGTTTTCAAAATATCTGAAATGTCGGAAATTTGACTCCTGAGTGTGATTTTTGAGCCGAATTCTGACTCTCTGCACCTATTTTCATTTTCATATTACGAATTTTTATACCGAAAATATGCCAATTACTGAAAACGATGATGGGTCATATTTTGCCCAAACCCCCCTGCAGTTTTCAAAATATCTGAAATGTCGGAAATTTGACTCCTGAGTGTGATTTTTGAGCCGAATTCTGACTCTCTGCACCTATTTTCATTTTCAAATTAAGACTTTTTACACCGAAAATATGCCAATTACTGAAAACGGCGATGGGTCATATTTTGCCCAAACCCCCCTGCAGTTTTCAAAATATCGTAAATGTCCGAAATTTGACTCCTGAGCGTGATTTTTGAGCCGAATTCTGACTCTCTGCACCTATTTCCATTTTCAAATTACGACTTTTTATACCGAAAATATGCCAATTACTGAAAACGGCGATGGGTCACATTTTGCCCAAACCCCCCTGCAGTTTTCAAAATATCTGAAATGTTGGAAATTTGACTCCTGAGCGTGATTTTTGAGCAGAATTCTGACTCTCTGCACCTATTTTCATTTTCAAATTACGACTTTCTACACCGAAAATATGCCAATTACTGAAACGGCGATGGGTTATATTTTGCCCAAACCCCCCTGCAGTTTTCAAAATATCTGAAATGTCGAAAATTTGACTCCTGAGCGTGATTTTTGAGCCGAATTCTGACTCTCTGCACCTATTTCTATTTTCAAATTACGACTTTTTATTCCGAAAATATGCCAATTACTGAAAACGGCGATGGGTCACATTTTGCCGAAACCCCCCTGCGGTTTTCAAAATATCTGAAATGTTGGAAATTTGACTCCTGAGCGTGATTTTTTGAGCCGAATTCTGACTCAGGGTTGCCAGCTTCAAACTGCTAAAAGTAGCGAGCTGACGGTCTAAAAGTAGCGAATTTGTAATAAGAGTAGACCAATTTTTTGTTTAGTAACTGATACGGGTTTCAAAGTAATCTATTATGATATATAGAGTACATTAAGCGATTTTAATTATTTTATTAGCATTATCTCTGCATATATATATTTAACCAATATGATAACAGGATAACTTACCAATATTTACTGTTTGAAGCTTAATGGGTGTGGAGTCCTTCCACGTCTTTACAGTTGAAGATTACCAAGATCTTGATCTGCATCCACAACCTCGTTCTTGTATATTGCAGACTCATATTTAAGCATTGACATGAGTGGTTCAAATGACGAGCAACAAGTTACATTTTCTTCAAGATATGTTTTGATTCTCAAGACTGATGTCAAAAGCTCAAGTCCCATTCCCATTCAAGATTTCTCAGTTTAGTTTTCACAGACGTTACTCTCGAAAATATCCGTTCAACCAGGGCATTACTGATTGGCAAGCTGTATATTTTCAACACAAACTCAGCGAAGTCAATCAGTATGGGATCGCCAGCAGTGTTCTTGACAGTTATTGTCTTGGTCTAAAATGACGATTCAGATGTCGGAATTTGTCCCTTACAAATGTTGGACTAGTCAATGGTTAACAGTAGGCGCCACTGACTTTCAGTTTCACTAAGCTTAGATTGGTCAGCTAATACTAACGGAAGTTCCGAAAATGGTGGCCAAGTAAGCTAAGGCATATGATAGGTAACAGATTTTTCACCTTTTTTTATAGTTTCAACATTACTTAGAATACGAGAAAGAAGCTATTTGCAAGCTTTCATTAAAAAATTATCGTATCTTTCTTGAACATTTTGAAACTTTTCCTGGGTTGTATAATTGTTTTGTCTGTTAGTGGCCAGAAGTGTTGAAAATTCGTAACCAAAGTCAACTTTCTCCAGGGGCAGATACATAGAAATGTAGTCCAAATTAACATGAAGCTTTGCATGATGAGGACGAAAGATTCTTCTGAGTATTCCAAGAGTGAAGTTTTCTAAGACAGTGTGAAGGCTATACTGATCTGCTTCACCCTTTGATAAAGTAAATTCATCCTTTCAAAATCATTTAGGATTGGTTTGAGACATGTGAAATATAGCTTATTGGAGGGATCAGCGTACATTGAAAATATTTGCCTTGCAACATATTTATCACAAGAGGAAAAAGCTATTTGGTAATGAGTTGTTAGAGAACCCCACTGATCAAACGGCCGCTTTACACTACCGCTCCTTGCCAACCATCGTCTTCCTGAGAAAGGTATTAACTGTAAGGGATCTTTCCCATCATTTATCAATCTGTAAATTACTAGATAACTTTCTCCCCTTAATGAAGATCTGTGGAACCAGGTGTAGCTTTTGGGATGAAGTATTATTAACAATTAAGGTTGGGAAATCTATTGCCCCTGGGGAGGATTACCTTGCCTTGCGGTTACTTTTTCTTTCAAAGGTTCCTAGGATCAACGTCCCCAGGGGCCGGTCTCTGACCAGGGCTCTCCTGCGGTAAGTGGTCTAGTCAATCAGGCTGTTGGAATCGGCTGTGATTTGTACAGATTATATTATTAAAGCATAAATAAGCATTGAGTTTCTTAATATTAATAGCCCAAAGTAGCCCAATTTGCGTTTAAACTAGCCCAAAAAGTCGCAAGTAGCGAAATTAAAAAATTGGGAGCGTGGGGCTCTTAAAAGTAGCCCAATTCACTACTTGTAGCCCAATCTGGCAATCCTGGCCCTAATCCAACTTAATATAGCACCCCCAATACCATGAGCTTCTATTTTTTAAATTAGTCTTTCATGTGGCACTGTATCAAAA